TGGATTGTTGGTGGGGCCCAGTGGAATCACAGACCCCGAAGGGAAGGAGGCCGTGGAGGCGAGCCAGAGCGAGGGCCTTGTGGGGGCTCCCGGGGGCTGGCTGGCCTGCCCCAGGGTGGCAGGGAGAGCCGTGTTGGACTCTGACCTCGGGAACGAATTTGATGAACTTGTGTTTTCAAGCTTCAAGAATGAGGGCTTGAACATCAGAGGCTACAACCTGTAACCCATGACCTGTGACCTAGCTTTTGAGTCACCTCAGGGGGGCCCTGAGGCTGCCCCAGGCCCAAGGGGAGGGGAACTGTATATGGGAGGGGCAAGGTTCTAGAAGAGTCTGTGGAGGATGGAGGTGGGGAGCACCTGTCCCATCTGCCCTCAGATTCGCTCAGACAGGCTCAGGGTCCCTCCTCCCCAAGGGTGTGGCCTCTTCTGTGTGTCTCTGGTCCTGGGGCCTTGATGCCATAGACCTCATTGACACTGATGGTGCTGGCCAGGCCTTGGGAAGCCCCCTCTCCGCCACCCCCAGGCCACCTCTCCTCTAGCTGCTCATCTGGGGCCCTTCCCCTCCTGGGCCCAAAACTGAAGCAGCAACAAGTGTCCCTCCCACAGGTCCCTTCCTCAGCAACTTCTAGAAAGGGCTGCTGCCCCCCTGGCTGGCCCCTGCCCCCCCAGCACTGGGGAGGGGTCCTGTGCAGGTCCCTGGCGGCCCCACCCCTCCCCCCTGTGTGAGTCCTGAGGCTGTAGCAAAACCAAGAACCACAGCTGGGCCTCTGAAACTCCAGAAATACACCCACAGGCGGGACCAGAAGTCTGCACGGAGGTGTGGGCAGGCTGGCTCCCTGCGGGCTCTCGGGGAGGACCCGGCCTGCCGCTCTGGCCTCGCCCGCCATGGCCCACGGTGGTCTCACCTGGAGACCCTTGCCTTGCATGCACAGACCGCTGAGCGCGTCTTCTGTGGGTGCCACCTGTCCACGCCCCACAGCACCCAACAGGCTCTCTCGTCTGGAGGCATTCGTGTGGTTGTTCATCCATTCAGACAGACAATGGACACACAGCTCGCTGTGGCTCCAGAGTCCACCAGGGGTCGTCTGTGAAGTGAGCCCCCTCCCCGCTAGGCGCCCCCGCCCCGCTCGTGCGTCCTCCCAGAGGCTCTTGGCATCTGCATGTGCCTGCATTTGCTGTGTTTCTAACTGTATTCACGCAGCTGGTGTCCAAGCGCGCCGTTGGACGAGTTCTCATACGTGCGCAGCCGCAGAGCCTTTGCCACATTCCAGACCATGAGCATCCTGTCCGCCCCGAGTCTCCTCCTCCCTTGTCTCCCTCCCTTTGTTCAGTTGCCTTTTATTCTTGCAGTGACCATGTGGCCGGATCAGACCCCGGACGGGTGCCTCGTCTCCTCTCTGCCATTCTGTCTCAGTTGAAAACATTCCACTTGAAATACCTGCGTGCCCAGTTGCAAGGGATACGCTGGGTAATATAGGTTCCCAGCACCAGAATCCCTGAGCCAAGGGGCTGCCCCTTGTTAGATGCTGGCCAATGTTCCCTCCGTGCCTGGCGGGGCATCATACCCATTGTCCCACAGGCAGCCTGGATCTCCCCACCACCACCCCCATGAAGGGCATCTGAAGGGCCCTTGCCTCATCGGCTCCCCACCCCCCCATGCTGATGCTGGGTCAGGGTCTGCTGGGTTTCCACTCTGCCCCCTCTCATCTCTGCTCACCCCTCCAGTCAAGGACAGCTCAACGATCTTCTTGGCATAAAGATCATCTAACAAACTTGAGACTCCTGAACATCAGGGCCCGGCCTACACCTTCTGGACTCCAACCACCTAAGGGGACCTTCTTCCATGTCTCATGGCTTCCACACCCAACCTTTCTGTGCCATCTGGGACTCTTTGTAGGGGGAAAATAACCCCAAAGTGGCTGGAGTGTTGTACTGGGTGGAATGGCCTCCCTCCTCCCCAATTCATGTCTCCCTAGAACACCAGAATGGGCCCATAAATGGAGTCTTTGGAGACATAATCAAGTTTAGATTAGGATTAGGGTGGCCCTAAGTCCAGTGACGGATGTCCTTATAAAAGGCAGAAAAGTAGAGGACACAGACACAGAGAAATTCAGGGGAACTTGGAGGCCGAGAGGGAGGGTATGGCCCCAAGCAAGGAAGGTGGGGCCACCAGGAGCTGGACGAGGCAGGAAGGACGCCCCTCCCCGAGCGCCCCCAGAGGGAGCATGGCCCTGCCCACCCCAGGTTCAGCCCTCTGGCCTCCCTGGTGGGAGAGAACATGTTCCTGCCCTCAAGCTAGATGTTCACAGGTAGGAAACAGAAAAGCTGCAAGTAATTGTTTTTCCTGTAAAAATGCAAATCATTTCTGTCTGGCAGAAAAGATAATACCGAAGGTCACGGTTTATTGCCCCGTGAGCTATTAACCTGTTGTAGGTCCAGTTTAGCAATGCGACTCCGGCAGCCTTACTGTTCCTCTGACCAGCTGTGGCTGTGTCGGGGTTGGGCGCCCTTTGCAGAACCAGCTTTGCCATCTGGCTAAACTCCTCCATCCTTGCATTAAATGAAACTGACACATGTGCATCTTCTACTTCTCTGAGAACCACATTTTCATCCTTTGGAAAAATAGACTTTTGCCGCAGAATTATCAAAGTGGAAAGATCTGCGATGTCTAGTTTCAGGCAAGGTTCGATCTAGGGGCTGTCTTCAAGGGGGAGTATCTCAGCCTGAGGTTGAGTGCCCTCAACTGATGCTGGTCAGGTCATCTCCACCAAGGCTGGCCCACGCTGCAAGTTCTTGGCAGAGCCAACGGTCTCTGTTTTACACCGCTGAGCTGGGGATGTTTGTTACATGGTGCTAGGTAGCTTGTACACTGGCTGCGTCCCCTTGGACATGGTTCTCTCCATGAGAGGTGAGGGGTAAGTACCCCTGCCTAACTGGGTTCATCCTTCAAACGCTGAACTAACTGAACTCTGCTGTATGCCCAGCACTGTCCCAGAGGCCTCATGCCAACAGCCTGGCACTGAAGAGGGTTTCCAGAAACATCAGTTCTTCCCCCACTTCTTGTATCTGTGCGCCGCAGATGGAAATCCTGTCCTCTCCCAGCCAAACATCTCATATAAAGCAGTAATCATTTTCCAGGTACAGACGTGTCTATTAAAAGCTGTCTGTCACCTCTGGGTCAGCAGGCCTCCAATGCTTCATTGGTCCCTCAGGGCTGCTGGACGGAGAGGCTGCAGGCAACCTTGGGGGGCAGGGCTGTCCTCTTGACTGCTGAGTGGTATGATCTAGTCAAGTGGAAAAGTGTTATTTGCTGGGTAATAAAAGTGTCTTTTGTTCACTGCTCTGGAAACATATTAATGAATAACCCAGTACGTGGCCCCTGGTTCCAGCTGCCTAAAACGATCATTTATTTGACAAGATCAAGGTGCAGTTTTCCTTTTGTAGTTTTTAGGGGCCCCAGAACACTAGGCTGACCAAGGCCTCAACAATGGCAATGGGCTTTCCCTGTGGACCCCCACCAGCCCTGGCAGCATCAGGGCCAGCTCCATGCCGGCCCTGGACACACAGCTGAATGCAGCCTCAGGCACGGAGACCCAGTGGTGGACACTGCAGAGGGGCAGGCATGCTGGGAGGGAGCTGGAGGCCTTCCGGAGACCTTGAGGAGGGAGCAGGCACTATTCTTCAAGGCCCCTGAGTTATAGAAAGTGCTCCTAGTCCTGACAGTAGAAGGAGGCACATTGCTGGACCATGTCAGGAACTGGGGGTGGGGGGAGGCGGGGAGCTGGTGGGCCCAGCTCTAGGGCCCAGCACGTGGTTGGCATTGGGGTGGCAGGGATGCAGGTTCACAGAGCACAGGTGCGCTGGGAAGGCAGTGATTCTCTTCCTCCGTCCAGATGAAATCCAGAGTCCCAGTTTGGGGACGAGGGGTGGTTGCCCGGGGGACGGGGCTGGGAGGAGGCTCTGCATGGAGAGCTGGGGTCTCCACAGAGCCCTTTTGCTGTTGTTCTTGTTGCTGTGATAATAGTAATAAGTGACCGCCAGAGCCCTAGCTGTTCCTGATGCACTTAGAGTTCCTTATAGGTGGAGCTGCCCCTCTTGCCCCCCACGAATGCATAGCTGAAGACCTAACCCCCATCACCTTAGGTGACCTTTTTTGGAAATAGCGCCCTTGCAGATGTAATTAGTCACGATGAAGTCGTTAGGGTGCGCCCACCCAATCTGGCTGGTGTCCTTGCAAGCAGAGGACATATGGACACAGACACACGGGGTGGGGGGGCGGCCAGCACGGGAGGGTGAAGGTAGAGCCCGGGTGTGCGCAGGCGCTGAAGAACCCTCGGACTGCCGATGACCAGGCACAGCTGGGGCGCAGCCTGCAACGGGGTGTCCCCAGAGTCTTCCGGGAGGAGCCAGCCCCACCACATGTCCGTCTCAGACGTCGGGCCTCCAGAGCCCAGAGCAATCACACTTCTGTTGCTGGAGCTGCCCGGTGTGGGACGCTGTGTCGTGGTGGCCCTCGCTCCTTCCTGCTCAGCAGGTAGGCCCTGCGGACCCCTGGGGATGCAGAGGGGCCGCATAGCCTGCTGGGACCCTGCCAGCGCACCTGCTCTGGGCTTCCTGAGGGCTCAAGCTATGTGTCTTTGAGCTAACTGCGGAGCTTCTCTGGACTTCCGTCTCCTCGTCATAAGATGACGGCTGGCCCCTACCAGTGGGTCTCTGCGAAGGTCCGACGGAAGGAGACTGCCAAGGACTGGGCAAAGCCGCCAGATCAGGGCCTTTCAGAGCCCGGCTGGGGCGGGGCCTCTGGTGCGGGGGCGGAGCCCGGTCTGTAAGGGGTGGGGCCTGCGAGGCAGGGGCGCGGTCTGAGTGGGGGCGGGACACGGGTCCGGGCCTGCCGCCCGCGGCCGCTCTCAGCTCGACTTGCTCCGCTCTCCCGCGGGGCCTGCTCGGCGCTCGGCCCGCAGCCCTGCGTACGGAGCGCGTCGTACTCTGAGGCTCGCCAACATGTCGACGGCGATGAATTTTGGGTCCAAGAGCTTCCAGCCGCGGCCCCCGGACAAGGGCAGCTTCCCTCTAGATCACTTCGGTGAGCGGCGGGCGCGGCGGGCCGCGAGTCCTGAGTGTCCGGTGGCGCCGCGCGGGCCCGCGGCGCAGGTGGGGAAACCGAGCCCCGCGCGGGCGGGACGGGCCGGCGCCAAGTGGCTGGCGGGAGCGGGGCGTGGGGCGGACCCTCCGCGTCCGGGCCCGCACTGCTGAGCGCCTCCGGTTTGGGGCCGGCGTCCGGGTTCGCGGGGTGCGTCCGTGGAGGCCGGCGCGCCGAGAGCGGGTGACACACTGTGTTGTCGACACCCACGTTTTCCTGTGGAACGTTCCAGACACGCCCCGAGGGAGAAACAGCCCCGCGGGAGCTCCCGGTGGCCGCCTCCCGGCGTGTCCCGCGCGTGGCCTGACAGTTTTGCTTGAAGAGGAGATGCTGTTTTCCTTCTCGTTCCAGGTGAATGCAGAAGCTTCAAAGAGAAGTTCATGAAGTGTCTCCGCGACAATAAATTCGAAAACGCTTTGTGCAGAAGGGAGTCAAAAGCCTATTTAGAGTGCAGAATGGAGAGGCAAGTACCCGGTGACATGTGTGACTTCTGGAAGCTTCCTCCGCTCCTGGAGCGTTTCTTTCCTGGCAGCTCATCGCAGCAGGGCTCATTGAGGCTCAGGTCTTTCTCAACCGTAGAACTGCTTGTCCCTGGGATTGAGGCCCGCCAGATTAAATGGTCCCACAAGTTGTGCAGCAGCCCTGGGTACATTTCCGTGAGTGACAGCGTCATACCTGACTGCATTCCTCAGAGTATTTTCTTTCCAGATTTGGGAGCTGCTGACCTGTCGTTAAGGTTTCAGAACCGTCTGTCATGAAAATGCTGACCGAGCCAAAAGATTTGAAGGTTGTGGATACATAGTTTTTTCTTTCACATTCTCAGATCATAAAAATGTTGTTCGGTGTAGTCTCAGCTGTGCTTGAAATGTGAGAGGGGAGACAATAGGCCATTTCAGAAATGATGAAAGATGAAGGATTTGTTCTGTCTTGACCAGAATTCACCAGAGCTCACTTTTAAATAAAACAAAGGTTTGTAACTATGATCTGTTAAGATTTTATTTAAGAACTGTTATAGTCCTTAGTGGGGAAAGGCAGGTAACATATATAGTGGGATTGGGAACTTTTATTTATGATTTTTAAGCCCTTCGTTAGCTCATTAAGGGATCCAGTTTTCACTCGGCTTTGTGTGAAGATAGGTTGACATAAACCAATCCAGTTGGAGCCCCATTTCCACTTTCCCATAACAAACTCAGACATTGCTCTCAGGGCAAAATCTCTTGTGTTTCTCAGGCCCACAGGTGTGTGGAGGGCTCTCTGTAGACACGTAAGGCCCTCGCTCTGTCTCTGGAGTCGTTCAGGCTCACAAGGGCTTAGATTTGACAGCAGATCCCCCTGAGTCCAGTTGTCACCATCTTTAAGTAGTACAATCCCGGGATCATGTGTTCACATTACTGTCTTTTAAATTAACACATCTTTTAAAGATGGGAACTAAGTAAATATTTTCTTGGAGCTACCACATTTGGAGACAGTCTGAAGTTGGTGTCTGTCAGCGTGAGGGTGTGAGCAGGTCATCTGCCCCTCTGAGGCTTGCATTAATCATCCCTGTGCGGGCCCGAGGACCCAGCACACACAGGTTGCTGCCCCTGCTGGGAGCTGTTTTGGAGTTGGGCTGCTTGGGTTCCCAGAGAAGCTCCTGGCTTACCAGGTGAAGGACCAGCAGAAGGGCCCTGTCTTTTCTCCACATTTGACCCAGGGAGTGAGCTGCCTGCTCTCCGTGTGTCCATGCCTTGCTCAACACAGCTGGAGACTGGCCTCCCCTGAGGCCTGCTGAGGTTGTTGGGGACGGAGGGAGGCAGCTGGCTACTCTGTGGGTTCCATTATTTCAGGTGGCTTCCCCAGCTGGTCAGGCAACGTTAAGATAAATGTAAAGGGTGCATGTGTGTTTCTGACTTGGTCAATGATTCCGGCCTAAAACTTTCGGATTTTTTTTTTTTTTTTTTTTTTAAGATTTTATTTATTTGACACAGAGACAGAGATCACAAGTAGGCAGAGAGGCAGATGGAGAGAGAGAGAGGGATGCGGGCTCCCTGCTCGGGAGGGAGCCCGATGCGGGGCTCGATCCCAGGACCCTGAGACCATGACCTGAGCCGAAGGCAGAGGCTTAAACACCTGAGCCACCCAGGCGCTTCTTGGATGGTTTTTAATGAAAATCTATGGCCACCCAGATTCAGTATTGAGATTTTGCACATTTGCTTCTCTTGCATTTTACAAACCTCTTTTTTTCCTTTTCCTTTTTTCTTTTTAAAGATTTTATTTATTATTTGACAGAGAGAGAGAGAGATCACAAGTAGGCAGAGAGGCAGGCAGAAAGAGAGGGGGAGAAGCAGGCTCCCCGCTGAGCAGGGAGCCTGATGTGGGGCTCGATCCCAGGACCCTGAGACCATGACCCAAGCCGAAGGCAGAGGCTTAACCCACTGAGCCACCCAGGCACCCCTTTCCCCTTTTGTGCTGAAATCCCAGACGTGTCTTACCTGTTCTTGTCTCTCTATGCATCTTTGTAAAAAAACTGCACCACAACAAGTTTTTAAAGCTGCCTCTTGGGACGCCTGGGCGGCTCGGGGGTTAAGTGGCTGTCTTTGGGTCAGGTCATGATCCCAGGGTCCTGGGATTGAGTCCCACATCAGGCTCCTTGCTCAGCGGGGAGCCTGCTTCTCCCTCTTTCTGCCTCTGTCTCTCTCTCTCTGACAAATAGATAAATAAATCTTTAAAAAAAAATAAATAAGTAAAGTTGTCTCTTGAGGCCTTGGCCCATTGTAGCCAGATGTGGAAGTATGTGCGCTATTGTAGCTGCAGGCCACATTTTCTCACGGGAAGAACTGGCTGGGGTTACCAACAGCAAATACACATATTATCTGTGATCTCAAGGCTCTAATTATTTCAGTTTGATTCCTTGCCGTGGGGTGGGCCTCTGGGATCCTGCAGCCGCTTCCCAGAGTGCAGGTTGGTGTGAAGGCCAGGCCTCCCCAGAAATCCGGCTGCCCTAAATCATGCGCTTAATGCTGCCTCAGTCTCTAAAGGATTGGACTGGAAGTGGGATGTTTTCTTCAGTCTCTTCCCTTATGCTAAAAGGAGGCATTGAAGTCGTCCTTTGGGATTTAGAACTTGCTAAATGTTCTATTTGTTGTTTTTAAGGACTTTTCCAAGGAGCTGGATTTTGTGAATATTTAGATTTGTAGAAAGAATATCTTGAACTGTGTCTTACTTGGTTTCTGTTTTTTTCTTCCTGATTACTTCTTTGCGCTGCTAAACTCGCAGGTCCTTACTGTCCCAACGGCATGTCGGGAGGAGCACCACTCGCCCCCGTGTGCCACCAGCCCACCTCACCTTCTGTAGCAGGTAGTTAGACATGGGTGTCGCCAGGCTCGGTCAGGGCATGGACAGGCTGCATTCCTTCTGGAGGCTCCGGGGCAGAGTTCCCAGTGGCCATGCTCCTTGGCTCATAGCCCTCTGCCCTCTCGAAGCCGGCATGGGGTATCTCTGACACTTCCTCGCTTCCTGTCTGTCTGTCATTTTAAGGGTTCACGTGATGAGGTTGAGTCCTGGGTCACCTCACTTCAGAATCAGCCAGTTAGCGATGGTACTTCCACCTGTGGCCCGAACTCCCCTCTGCTGTGGAGGGTGACATGGGCTCCAGCAATAAGGGTGTCATCTGGGGGGTCGTTGCTCTGCTGATCACAGTGTGAGAGACCTCAGTTTTAAGAACTGTTGGCCAGATGTCCTCTTTTGATAAGATGTGGTGAAAGTTTATCATTGTTTTCCTCATTTGGGTTTAAGGAGTGGCACGTGCGTTCCATGCTATAGATTTACTGTGCTCTAGATTAAATTCTACGGACTGAGGTTTGCAGTTCTGGGGACATTTTCCTGAGGGATAAGTGACACTCCTTGTGAAGTTTGGCTAGAGATCATCTCTCTGCAAGGCATTGTGTTTCTGCAGAAGCGTGGCAGTGCCCAGCATGCTGGCTGAGCACGAGGCTGGGTGCACAGGCTCTGCGGTGGGGGCCGGGACACACTGTGTGAAGTGATGATGGGCTTTGTGCTGGCTGAGCCCGGCGGTTCCTGTGGGAACATGCTGCTGCCCCCTCTCCACCCCCGGCAGGCAGGACAGATGCCTTTGAGAGTTGGGGTCGACCCACCACCCCTGACCCCCAAAACAAAACAGAATGAAAACCAGGCCTCCCTTTCCCTGGAGCATGGGTGGCGGGAAGCCAGACGTGGGGAGACTACTGAGTTCAGCAGGGGCTCTGTGCTGGGCATCTCCATCTTCATGGCCCTGACTTCTGTGGACGTGGTGGGAGGCTAGCACATGGCTGGTCATAGGGAGGGGGTGGGAGCGGGACACGGCTGCTGGCCAGCTATGGGGCCATGCAGGACCTGGGGCAGGAGCGAGAGGATGGCAGAGCCCATGCACCACGCATCTGGGTGTTCCTGAGCTATGAGTAAAGCTAACACATGGTGACCATGGGCAGCGCAGTTCTCCTTACATGCAGACTCTTTTCGATAAATGCAGTAGAGTCCTGGAAATATGTTTCTTTGTGTTTTTCTTATTAGCGCTTTTGTTTTCTCTGGGTTACATCTTGCTAGGATATACTTAGGTTATAGCTAAGGTTTCTGGTCAGCGGTAGACTGTCGGTCCTTAAGCTTTTGGGGATTCAGGAGTTATGGATGGATCCTTGACCGCACGGGTGGTTGGTGCCCCTCACTCCTGCATTGTCCAAGGTCTGTTGTACCAGATAAAGGCCTGTCCGCACCTTGTCCAAGGTGTCTTCACAGGGACCTGGAGGTCAGGCGTCTGCTCCTACTGTGCCCTCGGGGAGCCTCACGGTGGTCTGCCCGCTTCCACTGGGTCCTGGCTGCGCCCTGTGCGTGGGGAGCTCTGTGCACTGGTTGCCAGCGGCTGTCCCTCTGGGGTCCAGAGGCACAGGCGTCAATCAGCCTGGAGGAGGAGGGCGCAGACGGTGACCCAGATGCAGCGGTGTCCCTGGCTGCAGGCAGCCCCCCAGACACCAGTTGGGCGGGATGGGAATGAAAGCGCAGGCCCGCGCAGACAGTGTTCTTCGTTTTCTTCCCTTCTCGTAGGCAGCTGATGGCACAGGAGCCCCTGGAAAAGCTGGGATATGGAGATTTGACTGATGGAAAACCAGAGGCAAAAACTAACTCGTGATGGAAAAAGACGACCAGCTGCCCGGCCTTCTGGGATGGAGTGCGTTGTGTGACCTTGTCAGCTGACAGCTTAGGGTCAGGTCCTGTGATGGAGAGGTTCCAGAATGCCCTCCTTGACAGAAAGAGCTCATCCCGATGTTTCCCAGGTTGTTTTGAAAACTTACTATTACTTTTAGATCTCATTTTTCCCCAAGAGTGTTAAGTTTTATCTTTACATAGCGTGTGGCGGAGTTCCTAAGGAGACCCGTGGCAGGTGGGAGGTAGGAGTGCGGAGTTGTGCCCACCTGGCAAGGGGACACGTGGCCTGGGGGACACGGTGACTCCACAGTGCTGGCGTGCTGAGTGCTCGCAGCTTCAGCCTCCACGGAGATACAGGTGCTGTCAGAAACCACTCCTAAGCAGAAACGGTTTCCTTGTGCTTCTGGGCACCAGTTCACTTCCTGTTTTCCTAAACAAAATATGAACTTGGGAAGGAGAGCGCGTCTGGCCTTTGACATATTTGACCTAGTGATGTTTCCGGTCGTGCCTGAACACCAAGTACCTTTTAACCAAAGGCTCATTTTATGACCTGTACAGATTGTGTTTATAAAACTAGTAACAGTGACCCGTGTATTGTAACTGAGAAACAAAGTGTTGGGACACTCGTAGCTCGCCTCATGCATGTGGTCTCCAGCGTCTCCCTCTGAAAGCACACCCGCATGGTCCTGCGGCGTCACCTTCACCAGGGCTACCCCCAGAATTGCCTGCAGTCACTTAAACTTCACGTGTGCCCTAACCCAGCCAGGGTTTCCAGGCGGCTTTGCTGCATGGCCAGGGTTCCAATGCCCGTGCAGAATGCTGCGTGTGTGTGTGGGTCTGGGCCCAGCGCTGACCTCCCTGGCTCCTGGCCAGCCAGCTTTGGTCCCAGTGTGGCTAATGGAAGATGGTGGAGACATCCCCTCTAGGACAGTGACCCCGGGAGGGACCGCCAGCCATGACCCATGCCTGGGCTCCCGAAAGTCCCCACTGCCTGCTCCTCAGCCATGGGTGGTAGAGGTGTGGCCATGTCCCAGTCTCTGCCTTCAGGTCCCTCTGATTTCAGCCCATCCGCGGTGGGTGCCTCTTGGCTTAGACCCTCCCTGGAGTAAGTCCCTCCCGCGCTTGGTGCCGTTGCCATGGTGCTGACTCCGCCCCGTGTACCTGTGAGTGGTTAGCTCCTCCTGCTCCCATCTGCTGTTTGTCACCATCGGGTATTTGGGCTCTGTCTTACGCCGTCATCATGCTACAACTTTTTCATGTTAGCGTCCAGTTGCTAAGGTGTCTTGGCTTTTAACGCCAAACTGAGCCATGAAACTAGTTTGTGTTTGCCAGCCGTCTAGAATTACATATGCACAAGGTCGTTTATGTGGTATTGTTTATAATTACGGAATGCTGAAGTGACCCAGATGCCCACATGTACGAGCTTTTGGTGAACCGTGGCTCTTGTGGGGGGCTGTGCAGGGAGTCTGAACTGACATGGGCTGGCCTCCTTCCACAGGCACGCTGTATATAAGAAAGGCAGGCTCTAGAAGCATCTGTAGTGACGTTAACAAGGAAGACAGGAAGCTAGAAGTATCTGCACATTTGTGCAAACACAAAATTGAGGAAGGACAGAGCAGACGCTAAGGAGGATGGTGGCCGGCGTGTCATGAAGCCCTGACTCTGAGCCAAATTCCTGTTCTCCGTGCTCAGAGATGACACGGCTGTGGGGCACCCAGCATCAGCTGTGGTGGGTGGGAACAACAAGACTATTCTGTTGTCTGGCCCGTTCTGAAAGCCAATGTTCTAGGACTAGAGAACTAGGGAGCATGGAGAGCCGGGGTCTCAGGAGTCCCTGTTGTGTCACAGATAAGGTGGCTGCACAGAGAGACATACTTTAATGTGTGCGTGCATCTGTGTGCACCTGCCAGCCCTGAGTGCCCGGGGGCCTGGAGTCGTGACCCCTGCAGCAGGTGCTCACCCTTGCCCTGTCCTGGGCTGGAGCGCTACTCCTGATGGCTGGAAGCAGGCTCCCAGAGGGACAGCTGGTGCCCGGGCCAGAGTGGGAAATCCAACCTGAGCCTTAACCATTTGTGGCAGAAAGCAAGGAATTGCTGGAAATAGGATGGGGGCTTGCTGGAAGAATATAGGCTCCCCCCGCAGGGAGCTACATCCGGGTCAGTTGGAGCAACAGAATATTGTATTGGGTTATAGTCTTCAGAATCAGTGACTCTGCACAAGTCCATGCTGATATAAATCACTAATGGGGTTAAGCTGTGGGCAGGGGAGGGACAGTGGGCGGTGGTCTGCCCAGCACAGAAGCGCAGGTTGGGGACAGAAGTCACAGCACAGTGGCAGGGGTAGAGACGAGAACCGGCTGGGAGCTCGGAGTCGGGCCGAGTGTGGTGTGCAACCTGGGGCCTGTCCTGGGGCCTCCCCTCAGGGTGTGGTAGAGATGGCAGTGCACACTCGGTGGCCTACCCACGGCTAGTGTCCCCCTCTGATGCCCTCCTTGGTGTTCCTACTTCACTCCAGTGAGCAGATGCCAGACTACACACATTCTGTAGAGTGAAGACCGGTGCTCTTCATGGGTATCAGGGTCCAGAGAAAGGAGGGCTCCGGGGAGATGGAGGGACTGCCACACAGGTCTGGGGCCGGGAAGGGCAGTGGCGGGCAGCTGCTGGGGCGTGGCAGTCTGCAGCCCGGTTACCAGAGTGCTGGGATTCTTCTATGATTATGTTACGGTGGCATTTGGGGAAGCTGGATATGAACTCTCCTGTTTTTGCAAATTTTTGGAAATCTAAAATTATTTGCATTAAACTGTGTGGTTGAACTTTGTGCGTGTGTGGTTGAGTAAATTCTCGTTGTGAGGTGTATCCCGTGGACTTCGAGGCAGGTGATGTGACGAATGGTTTCAGCAAGTGGGGGAGGAAGCGTGGGAGGAGAGGTCCAAAAGCAGCCCCAGTTGTGCAGACAGCTGAGCTCTTTACAAAGGGGCAGTGGCTTCCCAGTGCAACCTTTGATGCAACCACATGGCACGTAAGGCGCAGACGTCCTTCCTGTTCATGCCCAAGCGCCTGCTCCTTCGGCCCTGCTCCCGTAAAGCGCCCGCACATAGTGGTATTCAGCGGCCCAGAGACACCTTCCAGTGTCTCAGAGAACACTTTCCAAGTGTTCTCACGCTGGAGATAGGCCAGAGAACCTGGGCCCCCCTCAGAGGAGCCCCTTAGTCCGCCTCCCTCCAGCCCCTGGGGGGTGGGGTGCGCTCTGGGTGCAGCGCCAGGATTTCCTCCGCCCAGCTATCCCACCGTCAAGAGCAAGACGGCTTCTCCTCTCCGTGAAGCGTCCTGTGCTCACTTAGGTCACCTCAGAGCCGGTGGCGTAAACAGTACAGATTTACGATCTTATGTCATAAACAGGCCCATGAGACTGCGTTTCTGCGGGGGCTCTGGCCGGAGTCGTCTTCCTTGTCTTTCCAGCTTCTAGAGTCACTCCCCGTTCTTGGGCCCAGGGCCCATCCTCCAGGACATCGTCCTCTCTGTCCTGACCTGTCCCTCCCATCTTGTCCCTGACTCTGATGCTCTGCCTCCTCACCAGAACCCTCCTGATGACTCTGCCTACCCAGATAATCCGGGGTCACCTGCCAGCCCAACATCCTTACCCTGATCACCCCCTGGCAAGTCCGATTCACGGGGTCAGCCAGGGACACTGATGTGGACTCCGCCAACCACACTAGCCGTGGTGTGAGGGGGACACAGAAGCATCGGGCCTGGATGGGGCTCGGGTCCGAGCTCTGGATCGGGAGCAGCTCCCGCGTGCCCGTGCCCAGAAGATGTGCTGTCATACGGCTGTGGGGCTTTGCCTCGTGAACCGCAGCAACCTGCCACAGATCGAATTTTCTCAGGGCTGGGTTTAAAGGCCATATTCTTCTGAAATCTTTGGCAGATGACGGAGAACGGGTATGTGCTTGGTAAACAGCATTCGGTTGGAGCCAGCCACTGCAAGTAGTACGTGATCCCATTCCTGCCACGTGTTCCTCTCTAGACAGTTGGTGATGTTATAGATATGAGAGCAGTGTCTGGGATCCAGGGCAGTAATATGCGTGCGGTTGACAGAGTCGTCTGTATCATTTTTATAGAAACAAATTGTTAGTTTAAGAACTCACTGTGTGTGGTTATTTTGTATCACCTGTAAGTCACTGTGACTGTGATTTTACATTGTCCATAAGTATCTTGGTTGGTTTTTCCTGGTGGAACCTCACCGGTTTTGTGACTGCATGCAGTTCTGCAAAGCACTGAGGGCGGCCGGGGGCCGGGGCCGGGAGCTGCTCACAGTGGCTTTGCAGAGGCTCTGTGAGGGAGGGGTGTGGCAGCCTGCTTGGGTCTCCCCTTTGGAGGCCGGGACCCTCAGGCCTTTCAGAACGAGGGCTACTCTCTGTGCTGCTCGCTTCACGCCAGTCTTACTGGGAAAGAATGAGCTGTCTGTGCCTGTCATTCCAGCCACCGGCTGTTTGGATTCAGTCTTTCAGCGAGATTATTTATGGGCAAGAAAGCAGAGATTTTATTATCGCAAGAGACATCAAAGAACTTTCTATCAGGCCATAGAAATGACTGTGTGGACATGAGTAAAATTACCAGCCTCCAGTCTGCAGGAATGGAATCAGATTCACAGCGGCCTATGCGCAGAGGCTGAGCAGGTCATGGTTGGTGCCTGGCTGGCCATCCATCTGGCCTTGTCTAGAACCCAGCAGCAGCTCCGTCTGCAGAGAGGCCATGCAGATTCAGATGCGGCCCAGGCCAGAGACAGACTGGAGGAATAGGATCACAGCCTGGGCCTCCGGCCTCCTGGCTTTGACTGCTCGTCACCAGGGGCATCCAGTCCCGGGGTGGGCTGGGGGCCGGGAGCCGTGCCCATCCACTTCTCGGGAGCCCCGCTGGATTGGCTCGGGCCCTTACACACTCACTTCGTGTGGAGCCTTCCCTCCTCCTCCTGGTGGACTCCCCTGATTCTTCCAGGCCAGGCCTGTGTCCCCTCCGAGAGCAGCCCACAGGGAGGGGTTGGGAGGCACCTGTCGACATGGGAGCAGTTGGGTGTGTGGACACAGCCCGAGGCCACACCAGCAAGGCTGAGGGTGTCTGCGAGACCAGGAGAAACCAGGAGAATGACATATCTCTGAAATAGTGCTCGTGCGTGCTTGTTATCTCTTTTTTTAAAGATACTATTTATTTGAGAAAAGAGGGAGCACGAGCTGGGGGGAGGGGCACAGGGAGAAGCAGGCTCCCCGCTGAGCAGGGAGCTTCATGTGGGGCTGGATCCCAGGACCCCAGGATCGTGACCTGAGCGAAAGGCAGACACTTAACAACGGAGCCACCCAGGCGCCCAGTTTCTTTTTTTTAGACTTTTTATTGGGATATAATTCACATGCCATAAATTCACTTTTGAAAGAGTACAGTTCACAGAGTTGTGCAAACATCTCTAGATTTTTAAGTAAACTCCACCTCCAGCGTGGGGCTTGAACTCACGACCCTGAGATCAAGAGTTGCATGCTCCACTGATTGAGCCAGGCAGGCGCCCCATTGTCTGCTCGGTTTCTAATCATTTTCCTTTTTTCTTCTTCAACTCAGAAGGTAGCCAACAGAATCTCCGGAAAGCTGTGGATTTACCGCTGAGCCCTGGACGGGAGGGGGTGCAGGGGTGAGAGCCTCGTTTGCGAGGCTGCCCCCCAATTCTGGGCTGTCTCAGGGTTTGGCCGGCCTCTTCCCCACATTCCGATGAAATCCCAGAGTTGTATGACCGTTTCAAAGCCTTTGCACACATTCTGCACCCTCTTTGCTTGGGGGTGGGGTGGGCCTCTGTCCCCTCCCCTGAGTTTGGGGTTGGAGGCCACTGAGCTCTGAGGAACCCCAAGTGAGTCCCCTTGGGGACCCCACATCGAGAGGGTGGGGGGCAAGAGGAGGGACGCATGCCTGCAGCCCCCACCCCCCGCTATAGCTGCACCTGGAGTCCTGGGCGGACAGAGGGTATCTCGACCACAGCACCCACAGCCACGCGCCCACAGCCTAGCCAGCCTAGGTCACTGGAGGGGAAGGAGGTGGGAGAGGAAGTTACCTGGGCGCACAGGGAGTGCGAGGCAGGGGATGCGCCTGCAGAGCTGACCCTGGCACCCTAGCCACTGTGTTCCTGCAGGGTGGGCTTCCCTGGCCATGACAGGGGAGAGCAGGAGCTCCCAGGCCTGGACTCTGCTGCATTACTGGTGTAGGTTTTAGCTGTTGTTCTGCTGAACAGCAGAGGAGAGCCCTGCCTAGGGGACACTCAGCTTCTCTGAACCCCAAGGTGCAAGTGGAAACGATTCTCTTGGGCGCTGGGGGTAGAGCAAGACCTAGGGATGGAAGTGGAAACTGTAGGTGTGGGATCCAGGAGGTTCGTGGTGGGCAGGTAGTGTTGGAAGGACAACAGGTCCTGGACAGGTGTGGGGGCTGGGCTGGGGGACACCCCCAGGGGAGCATCTTTTTTCCAGGCATGTCCTGGAGCTGAGGGACGGACTTTTCTGAAGGTGCTAGCCTGGTTTCCACTTTGGGGCTTTTAGGGTTGGTCTGTGGGGTCCAGTGGCTATGCCCCCCCCCCTTTATTACAAAAGCCCAGTAATTTGGGGCATGGGTGAGGGCCAACCACTCTGAGGAAGCCAACTCTCCCTTCCCATTGACTTGCAGGGTCAGTGGCACCTCGGTGACTGAATGTGGTGGCATGGCGGCCCCTGCTGGACAGTGCTGGCACCGCAGTGCTTGAGGAGGGTCCTCTAGAGGGGACTCTGCCAGGTTCCCCAGCAACTGCAGATAGGACCAGGGCTGGGTATCCCTCAGGCCCCAGGTCTTCCTGACCTGGTGGCCAGGCTGGGGGCTTGGGGGCTTAGAAATAAGGGAGGCTTCAGCTGCCACCACCGCCCCGTGCCAACTTCCCCGTTCATGTCAGGGCAGCACAGAGCTGGTGCGTGCTGTGGGCCTGGCACCACAGGGAGTCAGTGATGGGTGGCAAGGGGTTCACTGCCTGCACCCACAAACTGTGCCTAAGGGTAGAGGCTACAAGGGGTAGAAATGGGATCTGGGGGCGGCTCCCAAGAGAAGATGCCACTGGAGACAAGAGGGTCACTATGAACAAGGGGCCTCCTGGCCCCTGGGACCGAGTGCTTAGATGTGGGTGTCTGCCCAGGGCTGTGGGGTGTCAAAGTATGCAGCCTTGTGGCCCCTGCTCCTCCAGGCTCCTCTCTCTCTCTCTCTCTCTCCCACCACTGTGCCAGTTAGCCTTTTCTGGGCTGCAGGCCACCCCAGACTTAGCTTCAAACTGCAGCATTATATGGGACTGGTTGCCCCATTTGAGGGTACTCACTGCATGGGCATGGCCGGGACTCGAGCTGTGAGGCCTCAGCTCGGGACATGAGGGAGGTCATCAGGGATGGGCAGGGGCATCACCATCTCTCTGAGCTCTCTCCACATGGTCTCTGCAGTGGGGTGGCTGGGGGCCAGGCTTCGTACCTGGCAGCTCAGGCTCCCAAGGAGAGACAGAGGGATCCGGGTAGAAAGAGAGAGCAACACAGAGTGTGTACCAAGTGGAAGTCACATCCTTTTATGATCCAGCCTAAGAAGTCTGCAGCCGTCCTTCACTGGTTGAAGCAATCACAACCCCCACTGAGATTTTTTAAATATTTTATTTATTGGGGCACCTGGGTGACTCAGTGGGTTAAGCCTCTGCCTTCAGCTCAGGTCATGATCCCAGGGTCCTGGGATCAAGCCCCACATGGGGCTCTCTGCTCAGCAGGGAGCCTGCTTCCCTT